CAACAAATTCATTCTGGCCAAAGGCCTTTTCTGAGTTTGATAAACATGATGTATTGAGGTCTAGCTTGGTTACAAACAATGTGACACAAGGTATGTTGAACCAAACAATATGTTCAACTATGGAGGCTAACCCACAATGTACTATATCATAACTACTGTCTCAGAATAGGTCTTTTCTCAAAAACCTTCAAATTTTCCCCTGAAACAGCCTCTGGGCTGATCTAAGTCAGGGCACGGCTAACTCACACATTGAACCCTGAAACAGCCTCTGGGCTGATCTAAGTCAGGGCATGGCTAACTCCCAGATCGAACCCTGAAACAACCTCTGGGCTGATCAGAGTCAGGTCACAGCTAACTCACGGATAAAATTGGATTTAGTGTAGCCTAGAGAAAAACCCTTGAGTCAAGGGAAAGATCTAACAGTTTCTGCTCACATCTGATGCCGAGAAGCATATCATTATYSTTGAACTTTAAACAGTAAAGTATYTAGACATATATRAAACCTTAAACCTAGATACCGTATAAAGACATATATAAAACCAAAACCTTAGAGACAATCTTAATGACAGCATTCACTTACCCTTTGGGTTACTTTGTCAACTTCATGGTGAAGAAAATTGCAGCTATCATCAAAGTGTTTGTCCTTTAACATTCCTCTGCGGATCATCTTATTTGGAATCTTGCCTTTATAGTCCATCATCAACTTGAGCATCTCATTGTTTGTTTTCCCAGGAAACATWATCTTACCAGTGTACAGTTCATAAATAGTACACCCCACAGACCACAAGTCTAAAGCATAGTCGTACTTGGAACCTATGACTGTGATTAAAGAACAATTGTCATGATTRCAATGTTAGAGTTAAATCCCTTTASGWYGTAGGACATGGAGGGTGCYAATGCACAAGTTTCAAACTWACYRTAAACCTCTAAAAATCAKCCYCTACCAAGGATAAGCCCTCTWAGTTAATAAATTAAAGGAAAGCAATTCATAGACATTCTTCATCATAGTGCAATCATTTCCAATTTCATYATGTGTCATTCCCTRGAGTATRGTTTCTTTGTTTAACAGTTGCTCATGACAAGACACATGAATATGGATACAAGTTAAAACAACRAAGTGATACTCAAGAGAATGACACAACAGTACTTACTTATTTCTGGTGCTCTATAAAAMCGGCTAACAAGATATGGAGTTATTTCATAATCTTGTGCCAGAGATGCTGAACCAAAGTCACAAAGTTTGATCATCAACTTCGACTCATTGACCTAATAATAAGATCAAAACAAAATAATTAATAATTCRAAAATGAACATCWATGCTGCRYGCAGTTATAAAGTASACAGSGAAAGAAGYACAATRAGTAGYGGRGTATTCATGKTGTKCCAATCYCCAAGTGCTTTATAGCTGCACACAGCACAACAAGCAATTTTCTTTTATAAATTGAAATASCCATTTCAAAGATAGAGTTCATGTGTGCCCTCATAAAGCACAGGTCACCAAACAGAAGCAAGATTCATAATTACAGTTATTTCATAATTATTAGTAGGAGGAGGCAGCATGTCGAGTGGTCATAGCATCGCTCTCGCAATCCGGTGGTGCTGGGTTTGAGTCCCACTGTAGCCACTAGCTGAGACTGTATTTGCCCTGATTTCTGATTAGTTCAAATTCAGTTTCTCGACCATGCTTGTAAATAGCCAACTGGTTTGCCTTCTTGCCAGTTGGGATTCTTAAAAACACTTTATGTTTCTTTGATTATTTCTTCATTTCAGTTTATYAATTTGTGGACTACACTGTAAACTAGCAGTTAGCTGCTAAGTGTACTTTCCATGTTAAATAAGGTTAATTAGTAAATGAACAACACATCTGGTTGGTATTAAAATTACATACCAGAATATTGTCAGGCTTGATATCCGCATGTAAAATTCCCGTTCGTTTTAGTAGTTTTAAAGATAARAATAACTGTTGACTATATGACCTGACAGCTTTTATGTGAAGACCAACATTYTGTCCATATTTTCGAAGCACTTCTCTGAGATTCATACTAAATGGTAAATAAATAACATATCTTATATTAAATCCATGAACATGACTATTGCTCATAGTACTGTYACCAATAAGTAATGACAACAGGGAACTGCATGTAACAACAAAAATTTTYACCAAGTTAAGTTATAATCAAAGTGAAGATCAACAGTATACACTCATTACATAATCATAACTTTATGATTGACATGTGACAATCAATACTTTGCCAACAGTAGGCATATCATTGGATGACCTTTGACTGACCATTGAACATCCATCGACTGTCAGCCAATGATCAGCCAACAAAATATTATGTGTGTATATTATGTACCATATTTGTAGAGTACAAATATTATGTGTGTATATTATGTACTGTATTTGTAGAGTACAAATATTATGTGTGTATATTATGTACTGTATTTGTAGAGTACAAATACTATGTGTGTATATTATGTACTGTATTTGTAGAGTACAAATATTATGTGTGTATATTATGTACTGTATTATGTACCATATTTGTAGGGTACAAAATAATATTATGTGCTGTATTTGTAAAGTACAAATATTGCAGGATATTTGTTTGTTGTTTAATTCCTCCCTCCACAAAAATCTAATTCAAATCTAATTCTAAATTCTATTTCAATCTTGACTGCCTCATCAATTGGGTTGCAAAACCTGTTAGTCATTACATGCACCGTCCACCCAGGAGTGGTAAATGCATTACATGTAGGTCAGGATATTTCTACTAATTCCAAACTTCCTCCTACAATAGTCGTACTCTATTGAGAATAATTAGATAATTCATGAACACAATTGTTGTTTTATCACATACCTCAARGATTCAAATACAAGACACAAGTGGTTCTTGTGGAAAAAGTGTCTGTACAGACGTAAACAATGGTACTTGTCATCTGGGTCAGCGTCATTCAGCTTTTTCAAGAAATCGAGCTCCCTCARACCAGTTTTGTGCCTAAAAATGATGAGATATGAAAAATTAGAAATAAGTGTATTGTGTAGTTCCAGAAAGTATCCATACCCCACCCATAGAGGAAATTGGAAATTCTGGAGGGGAAGGGGGGTCATAGAAAAAACAAAATTACATAGTTTGTATGAACAAAAAATTGGAAGTTTCAAGGGAGGTCCATTTACAAATTTCCTCCCTGGTGGGGTATGGATATTTTCTGGACCTACACGTTAGAAACCATGTGGGTGGGTGTTGAATACGACAAGTAGATAAGAAGGAAACCTAAGCACCATAAAAATGTTTTGGATGTGAGTGCRTTGGAGTAAAATAGACAATAAGATACATGAATTTAGAAGATCTTCAAACAATGAAGACGTTGATAAAAATATATACTTACATCATTTCATTGTTTCGTATAATTTTCACCACAACATCCTGGTTCCCTCTTGCCTGATCTCTTGCTCTGATGACATTACTAAACACACCACTCCCAGAAAACCCATATACGTTGTACCTCTTGTCGAGTAGTTCACCAATACGTACACCTATGCATAAATAAACATGAATATAGTTAGGGTTCAGGATCTGTGCGAGTTAACTAGAATTTGAGCAAAATTTGYATATGATGTCATTGAACAATCATAATGTGTCCATTGCAAATTGATGATGACACAAGCTGAAACAATTATAGCATGTAAACAGCTCAGTGTCAAAATAAAAGGACATGATGCCAGAATGAATAARTGAGTGAATGAATGGAAGGAAGTAATGAGCAATCAAATGTATAGACAGAAGGATAGATGAAAGGAATAAAAGGGTGGATAGAAGAATGGATGGCTGGAATATTATTTCTTACAATCTCAATTTATACTTACGGTAATATCCTTCAGCATCATCCCAGTTGTCAGTAAGATTAGGATTTTCTTTTGATACATCCATCTTCATTAGCACTTGACCTCCAGGGCTCTGGATAGATAGGAAAAAGTTTCAAAAGGCTAAGAACACGATAATAAAATTACATGGATTACATAAGCTGTAGCCTTCATGGGAAGAGAAACATTGTGTGACGATGTGAAAGCCTTACGAGAACATCTGCATAGGAGGTTAGTTGCACCATACATATATACAGAGGGGTTTTAAAAGCTCTGGATTTCAGACACCCCCCCCCCCCCCCCCTGCCTCCCTATCTACCTGCCTACCTACTGATCCCCCCCCCCCCCCCCCCCCAAATGCCTCAGATCTCTTGCAAAGTAATAAATTCCACTGGAGCTATAAAAGCCCCTAGACTAATTCTTATTCATTTACTGGTGGTAAAGACAATGTGGCACATGGTATAGCACACAATCCCCATTCCTTTTTACCGAAAAATCGTAAAACCATAATAATACTAATCTGGTCAAAATTGACCCTGATATTACTACCATTATGGTTGAAGGGTGATCCCAAAGTTTGATGTCTTGTTTGCCGACTAGCATTTCAACATCCATCAATCAAAGAACTGAGGTWAAAARTCTTGAGAGAGATTTTAGGAGGAATTATAGATTCTAATCATCTCATCCTCTTAAGGTGGCTCGACCCCCTCACGCTTGACCGCTACCTTCCACTTTTGGAACGCTAGTGCATAAACGTGTCTTATCCTATTGCAAATCTTTTTTGCACATAAGTCACATAAAGATTGAATTAATGTTTGATGCAGTTTTTAATGAGATCGGACGTCATAACACGTAATCATGATGAAATATTTGATTTCGAATAGAAAATAATTTTAGCCTTGCAGAGCGTTCAACACTAAAATGCTTCGTACCACATAATCATATACTAGATGCCTCCATTTGTGGGGATTTTTGAAAAAATCTATCTAGCTAATAATGAGATATTTGAGATTATTTAAATATAGTGCATAATCTACTTCAAAACTAAACAATAGATTTCATACGGCCGAAATTAATATTTCAGAGCTATATATTCACAAAAGTCATTGCTCATTTAGTTTTACTCTGTATCTAGTTTTAAAAGGAACATTTTGAAGGTAATCRACTTATGCGATTTTGTGAAAACGTATAGTGCAGAAGACGGGGTAAACATGTTGATGCGCACTTTTCATCRCAGTTTTCTAGTCAATCTTACTAGATCTTCCATTATTCTAAAATTCGCTGATCATTTCTCTCAAAATTACTTCAGGATACAAATTAGAACTTAAACTAAYATTACACAAAATTGCAAGACTATTGAACTCATTTAAAGCGATCTAAAGCGAACGAGAAATACAGAAAACATTGATCGTTTCCCAACGATTTGATGCTCTGGGAATTCTATTGTTTGCTAATGATCATAACACCAAATTCTTTCGCACCATGCACGGTCTCATCTCGCTTGACTGCTTTCCGATGTACTCCCGAAGTATGGTTCTTTATCTAAACTCAAAATTCTTGCTCGCTTCTTCCTTGAAGTTTTTAATTTGAGGCATGTTCGCCGATTCTATTCACTCACACTGACAAAGTACATCATGACAAACGTCCCACGTTTGAATAAAAAAAACAACTGTTTGTTACCAAACTTCGGGAGTGCATCGGAATCTTTCATTCAGAAAATTTGCCTAAAAATATATAGGGTTTTTTATATTTCAGTTCTTTGAATGACAGTTGTTGAAATGCTGATCTGCAAAGGACAAATCAAACTTTGAGGGTTGCACTTTAACGATAATGGTTAGTAAGTTACTACTTACACTGTAATGTTCAGAAAACATATCATCTACGGCAACAATTTCACCATTTTTGGAAGTCTCTTCATCTTTTTTAGAATCAGAACTGCTCTTGTTTTCACTCGATTCATTGTCCTTTGCCCCACTTTTACTATCTTTTCCTTTATTAGCTGTGAGAACCAAGTCTTTTTCAAGGTCTTCAGTAGCTTGTTTGTCAACAGCATTGCTATATTCACTGTTATCACTATCACTACTATCACTGTCTGAATCTGAGTCTTTCAARTCCTGTGATGTCACTGATGTTGCAATTGACGCTGGCGCTGAAGGAGTTCCTCCCTGATACTTCTTTATTATTTCTTCTCGCTGTTGTCTCCTTCTCTGTATAATCTCTTCTTCATCCTCTTCTGACTCCATTTCAAAGTCATACAATTCATCCCTATAGAAAAATAGGGAAAGACGGGTTCAGTTAGRGGCAAATAATAACCTCACCCACCCAGGAATAAAAATGATAACCAGTCACTCGCCATCATGATCATCGGCAAAATTATTTTTAGCTCACTTTAGAAACAGTAAATGTATATCAGAGTTTGATAAAAAAGATATAATATATTTAGCTTCARTGCAAACATTATTTGTTTTCAGTACCATCTTGAGAAAGCAGCTAAATGTAATGAATTGGTGGGGGGCAGTGAGAGAATCTTTATCACGTTTTTCCTAAATTTTGGTGAACATTAATCAAAATAATAATAATAATAATAATCTACAAAGCTTTTCGCTGTTGTATCACAGTGTGGGTCAATCACAACAGAGCTAGGCTCCAAACTAAGTGAAAGCCCAAAGATCGAATTAGAATTTAGAAGTTGATTTTTGAGGAGGGAGGAAGACTGGTGGCAAAAAATAGGAAAATAGGTGGCGAGTTCATGTTAAAACCCAGCAAGATATGCCGGCTGCTAGTTCTGTTGAAAACTCTGTCCTTGTGCCTCTAATGGCATTGTTTACCCAAGCCAGACTGCATGTACTGTATGGTAAAGTTATCAARACSAAGAAAAACTATTGTTTAAGCAACKAATACTCACCCTGAATCTGGTTTCTTATCCTGAGGAATGCTTTCCGAATAACTGCCTTTGTGCTTGTYAGAAGATCTTCTTTCATGTCTTGATCTTGGTGAAGAAGATCTGCTTCTTCTCCTCCTAGGGGACCTTCCCCTCCTTCTTGGAGATCTGCTCCTACGAGGGGACCTACTTCTTCTAAAAGGTCTTTTTTCCSTTGGTGATCTACTTCGTCTTGGAGATCTTTGCCGTCTAGAGGGAGAAGTGGTTCCCTTCCTAGGTGATCTGCTACGATGCCTTCTATCTTTTGATCGATCTCTTGAGAAATCTCTCTTCAATGGACTATGAGATCTTGAATCCCCCTTCACATCRATGGATTCTTTAGACCTTGATCCTTGATCACTGATACTTAATTTGCTATTTTGTTTGTCTTCAACTGAAYGAGACCTTCTTACACTATCCTTGCTTTGTTTATCCTCATCCTTTTTCTCTTTAAATGATCTTTTTGGCCTTGAATAAGAATAATCTTCTGAAGAATCAACACGATTTCTTGATTTAGAGTCCTCTCTGTCTCTTGATCTAGAACTCCTTCTTGATTCCTTAAAATCTGTCTTTTCTTTCTCAATCGATATTGTCCTACTATTACCCTCCATTTTGGAAGTGCTTTTCTCATTATCTCTTCCTTGGGCCAAATCTTTTGACCTCCCAAAGCGATCTTTAGAGCCTGACCTCTCTCTGCGACCTCTTAATTCATCCTTTGGCCTAGAAGTTTCACTTTGCTTTTCTTTTGACTGATTTCTTTCTCTGTCCAAAGACTTTCCTTTATCTTCTGATGTACCACTTTCTTTTTCATTGACCTTCTTATTGAGGTCTTTGGACCTCCCAAATATATCTGTAGAACTTGATCTTTCTCTTCGACTTCTTGATATATTGGACAACGATTCTGTCTTTTTATCTGGTGAATAACTGTGTGGCCTCTTTGGTCTATCTGGAGATCTTGACTTGTCCCTTCTCTTTCGTTTTTCACCATTTTCTTCTTTCATTTCTTTTGAATCATGGGAGCTACCATCTTTGCTGTGCCGAGTACTTTCTCTGTGTTCTTTTCTTTCTTTCACTTTTTCCATTTTATAACCTTGCTTTCCATTTCTGTCAAAATCATTTAAATGGGACCTTTCTTTCTCACGTTCCTCTTTATCTCTATATTCTTTCCTTTTCTTATCTTTATCACTTGAACTACTTCTTAAAGAGGCTCCATCTCTCTCAGATGTTCTATCATTCTCAAGTTGTTGTTTCAGATAGGCTTTACGTCTTTCTAGCTCTTCCAGCTCCCCTGCTATTGTCTCAATGCGGCTTTTTTTATCCAATGGCTCAGTATCCGAGTTATCCAAGGACGCTTTCCGATGCTTGTGTTTATGCTTATGACGGCGTTTTCGCTCTTTATCTTCATCAGAATGCTTGTGGTGTTTACGATGGTGCTTATGGTGGTTTTTGTGTTTCTTCTTTTTCTTCTTATGCTCACTTTTACGTTCAGRCATTGATAAACTCGAGCGGCTGTRTTCAGCTTCTTCTGTACCCGAATTACTAAAAAAACAATATAAAACAACGAAAAAACACTATCAAATACAAAAACATCTCACAATTAAAAACAATAGGAAAGCCTAAAGCTATTTCATACCTTTCTGAGCTATTATCCGCGCTTTCTGTGCCTTTTTCCGGCATTTCTTGGCCAGTCTCTGTCAAACTCTCGATAGCCGCCATCTTGAAATCCTCGTCCATGTGTCGTCGCGTTACGTCACAACGCTGTCCAGTACCCACGGTCAATGACAAAATACTACTCACGGGGGTACTATGGAATTCTTCATAATTTAATTCCCTTATTTTCTATATCTTTTCAAATATTTCAAATAAAAAACCCTGAAATAAATTTTCCTTAAGTTTCTGCTCGAATCATGACTTAATTTAATTATATTTTCTGTTTGAATTATTTAAAATGTATTTGTACAAAAAGCTCTTCCCTCCCCTGGGTATCGTATTTTTTGCTTCCGCTAGATAAAATTGCATAACGTAGTAAAACAAAGGTCCGTCCCGTGACAGATCTTTTGAGTTAATCGCTGGAACGACATCTATAAACAGCGTAGTTCAAATACGAATCTAAAGGGTTTCACAAGTTGAATCCTCTTTCACTTGCCTTTAAAAAATCATGCAAAAGTGCTGGCATTTTTGGGTGATTTTCATTGTTCTTTTTGTGGGATGTCAGTCTTTGACGCGTGATGTTGTGAAACAAATGAACGACTTGGATCCAAGAGCAAAAGAAGTCGTTAAACATCTCATTGCGTTGGCTGAAAACAAGAGTACCGTCGTTCCACATGTGTCTGATCAGTGTACCTGGACTTTGGGAAATTTTACAAACAGTACTTCGATWGGAAAATGTAAGCAAAGGCCATCTTTTAGAGCGGTTTACCCGTGCTGCTAGCCGGCTACCTGACAATCGAGTTTCCTGTACCCTCCGAAACAACGCATTAGCAAATTCTTGATTGCCTGCAAATATATATTAATGTAAAATCTATCAATTATATATTCACTTTCTTTCAAGTTTTTCCCAAAATGTAAAATTTTCCACGTTTTGCAAAGATGTCGCTGTGGTTGACGTCATTCTTCTATATTTGACACCATGTCGTCATCTAGAAAACGGGCAGATGTAGATGGAAGGGGCTCTGGTTGACGTCATTTTCYTATATTGATACCTATGATGTCATCTTACTATTCTAGTAACAGAGGCAGATTTAGATGGGAAAGGGCCATTACCACAGCCACCTTTTAGCTTGGGATGCATTTTTACCTTGTACAAAATATCCCCGGGGGTGGAGGGGGGGGGGGGGACACTCTTGAACCCCCTGAACTCTGACCCTGTTCCAGAGTAAAATCGCTGAAATTCATACCCTGTTCCAGAGCAGGATCGCTAATACTTCTCATATTACTGGATCTGCCCAATGTAGAAGTATGAACCTTTCAGATTAAGGACAGGCACTAAATTTTTAGAATTTGTATACCTGGAGGTTAATTTTTTATGTTTAGTTAA